CAACCAGCGGCAAGAATCAAAAGTGAGAATGAGGAAGAAGGAGCAGGCGTGTAGAACTTTTTAGAAAAAGTGAACTCTGCTTCTCTCTGAAACAGCATTTTACCACTTACTTATCCTTTTGTTTAAACTTTAATCAATAAAGACTTTATTGAAACGACTGATGACTGAGACTGACATATGCAGAAGATGAAGATAATTCTTATATCAGTTTTGTGAATGCAGAGGTTGGAGTGCATGCTTATTTTATTTAAAACAAGGACAATGCACAAAAAACATAAGTCTCAGAGGAAAGATGCTCTGCATCTGATTTAGCTACAAGCTACTTTCCATCTGCAGTCCTTGGGCAGTCCTTCTTATAGGTACAAAAGACATTAAAGAAAGTATTTACATTAAACCACTTCTAACAATAACATTTCATCATAAGAATGACTCATTCATTAAGACTAGTTCTAAAACACAAAATTTCAAATTCATCATTATCTTCTAAAGATACTCCAAATTCACTGTTATCAATATCCTCTAAAATGTACAATTATCAATTCATCAGTATTATGATCCTCTAAAATACAATTCATCATCAACTTTACCATTGTGACACTGTCATTAATGAAACAATACATCTAGAGCTGCGCAGTACATCTACAGTACAGTCAGTCAGAATGTTTAAACATTTAAAGAACCCCAATATTGACATGCCATGGAAATGGAGAAAGTGTGGTACTTACAAGTTTTAAGGTCAGATGGAAGCATGTTCCAGTTTTTTTGCTGCTGTATATGAGAAAGCCAGTCAGGAGTTCACCACCAGTGCAGCTGAGTGCACCTGGGGGGTTTCCTTTGTTTCATTAATTTCTGTTGCTTTTGCCTTTATTTAAGCACAGTTACTTTTTTGAAAATATGTAATTTTTCATTTTTTGCTTCCATGAATTCACGATGCAAGGAAGAATTTATTTTATTTATTTTTTTTGGTGAAAACTGACATTTTTTTTTATCTGCCTCCTTCTTTTGACCACTTTGGCCAGCTTCCCCACAGTCTATTTCTACTTTACTCATACAAATGCAAACTTTCTGAATACACTGTATACATAATATTACATTGTAAGCCAATTTGACCTTAAAAGTACCTGAGGAAAACTTACACATTTTCAGAATTAAAAGAGTGAAGTGGAAAACTTGAGCTAAATGTATTAGAGCCTTGTATATTAGAGCTGACCAGGTCATTTGTACACTCATTTTGAGTTAAAAATGAGTAGAGGCTAAAGTATAGAGGAGACTTTTGGCACTGTTAAGATGAGGAGGAGGATGAGAACTCAGCTCATGGAGGAACCAAAGGAGTCACAATTTGAGGCTGATGAAGAGGGGGAAAGTGGAGATATATGAGCACAGAGGAGAAAATGAAGAGGAGAATGAAGAGGAGCATGAGGACAAAAACAAGGACAAAGAAATGGAGAAAAAAGAAGAGGAGGATGGAGAGAAGGAGGAAGAAGAGGAAAAGAGATGGAGAAAAACCTTCCTGAGGATGCTTGGAAAGTCACTATGAATATTAATTCTGACGTGCCATTGTCAAGTTAACAATTTATCAGTACACCCAACCAGGCCTGACTCCTGGGATGAAGTGTTATGATTCAACCAGAATGAATTTACCATTTGGATAATTTCAGTCCTGGAATTGGCACTCTCTCCTGAACTAAAGGTAAAAGGAGCTGTTAACTCTCGAAAACATATTACTTTATGACATCACAAGGTGGAACAGAGAATTTGAGTTTTGGAGATGTAGACAGACTAATTATAAAGGATTAACATGTGTGAATGAAACAAAACACAACTGCAGGTCTGTTTGTGATGAGGAAACAATATTATAACATAGATCAGAAAATAGCATAATATGGCCCTTTAAATAAAGATATCAATCATTTTTATCTGCTGTTTATACGAGATATAGTGTTGTAGAACGGTGTGTGAAACATTGATGGTATCTGGGACTTTACACAGATTACATAAAGGACCATGACGTTTTAGCTCTGCCTGCTTTGTCCTTTCTGTGATGTTGCACCATGACCCAGAAACTACTGTTTGGGAATATCTGAAAATGCATTATAACAGAAAAACAAGTGTTTATAAATTGATTTCCCATGATCCTGATTGAACAATAAAATCTTGTTTCTAGCTTCTGTATAAATTATTATCTGAGAAAATTCTGTGTGAAGTGATTTTTATTCATATACCCAACAATGCTTGATGTAAAGAGCACTTCTCTTGACAAGAATGCATTTAAATCAGGTACAGGCCCTTTTAGTGGAGCTGTTAAGGACCAAAAAGGTGCCCAATTGTTCATTTTTATGGTACAAACATGAAACTTTGCCAGATTAGTAACATCCCTAGGACCAACATTTCTGGATATGAAACCAAGACCAAGTCAAGTCCCTGGAGCCGAGTACTGCGCATGTCACATAATGGCTGACATGGAAATGAGGCTGGAAGCTAAATTATTGTTTAAACTGCCTTTTTTGGAAAATAATGTTAAATTATCATATAGGTTATAAAGAAGAATATGTATTCTCAAGATACTACCCACTGCAAAGCGGTTTCAATGCTGTTTTTAAAGTGAAAGTAAAAATTAATCACAAAAAAATATTGCTACTAAACTAATGGTGTTTCTTAAAAAGGTGCATTGTGTACTTTTCTGGTCTCCGTGGAGATGTTATTGCTCCATCTGGAATGTTTCACAGTGTGGCATTAAACCTTTCTATCTTCATGGAGACCAAACCAGACCAAGTTCCAGGTCAGATCTATGGAGAGGTGACCCCACTCACAGTCAGAATGTCTGTTTTTCTAGGAATTTTTGAACTATAAAACCACCTGTAACTGAATACATTTGTTTTGTGGATGCCTGTTAGACCAATTACATGGTTCCTTATACCCCCTAGCCCCGTCCCTCTCTCCTTCACTCTCTTCCTTAGTCCTCTAGGTAACACTCAGTTTATCAGCTCCATCTGAAATGTGTTTGTGGGCAAAGTTTTGGTGTTTAGTCCCACTTTAAGGTGGTAGGTTTGATTTTCTATCTACATTTTGCTCTCCTCCTCCTCTTTCTTTAGCCTGTATATTCAGTGGTTAAATCAGCTCTTCGCTCTTCCTTTTAGTTTCTTGGTTCAAATGGTGAAAAGACGACTGAAAATCTGAGAGTAAAAGTTACACAGCAAAACATATACTCAATTGCAAGCACTATTGTGAAACTTGAGTAGAAGTATAAAGTATGCATATCAAAACTACTATACATCTTATTATGAGTGGGCTCACCTCTCCATATATCTGACCTGTAAACATAGTCTGGTTGTGCCACTGGCTTGTCTCCAAGGAGATAGACAAGTTCAATGCCATACTGAGGAACAATATACTGTAACATTGCATTTATTGCTCCCAGCAGAAAACATAGTACAGTACATCTTTAATACTACTAACACATTTATGCCTAAAAAATCTTTATGCATTAATATTCAAATTGCCAGTGTGCAAATTACCTTGCATTTTATTATCCTTACCATAATAAATGAATGTTACATAAGAAACATTTGCTCTTACATTGTCTTTTAAGGGGTCATGGTGACAGATTTAAATCTGGCGTGTGCCACAAATAAACCACAACCTTCACCAAGTGTGGTCATAAGTGGCCATACTGGCTTGTCAAAGCCTGATCCCGTCAGGCTTTGACAGAAGCTAAACAAGGCTGGGCCTAGTCAGGACTTGGATGAAGACCATTGGGAAAATCAGGTGTCACAGTGGGGCGCCAGTTGTGTCCTTAGGCAAGGCACTTCACCCACATTGCCTGGTATGAAAGTGGTGTGTGCGTGAGTGATGGTGGTGGTCGGAGATGCCGATGGCGCAGCTGTGGCCACAATAGTAGTTTACCATCACTGGGTATGGAGTGAATGAATAAAGCTCATTCACCACCACAAGTTTACTATATTTTAGCTTCAAATGTTAAAATTAAAGTAAAATAAATAAATAAGTGCTTAAATAGCTGAAATAATGTTTTTTTCTTCCCATAATGTGAGATATACAAGCTATGTAAAAGGACAATGCAATTTAACGTCTTTAAAGGTTCACAATGTAACATTTCTAGTGGAAAGTAAGGTACCTGCTTGTCTCCATGGAGATGGTATTGCTTTGCTTTCACAGTATGACATTAACCTTATCCATCTCCCTGGTGACAAGCAAGAGACCCCGCTAAATGGAAGAATGTATGCATTTTAGGTATTTGAGCAATAAACACATTTTCAATCCTTAACCGAATAAACACAGACTGATATGTTTAATGCCATACAGTGGAACATTCTAGCCAAAGCTGTAACATCTTCATGAAAGAAGCAGGTAGTGGACCCCCCCCCCAAAAAAAAGTTGTAATGCACCATTAAGAATTTTAGTACTTTAAGACACCAGATCTCCCCATCCCTGCAGATTGGGGATGGAAGCGTGATGGCAGTTGCTGGTTACTGTTGTGGACCACACTCCCCCAGTAAAGGACACATGCTATGAACTTATCAAGTGTGGATGCAAAAGCCTGTGCTGGGCGATGCAAGACAAATTTGGCATGTACAAGTTCATGCAAATGTGGCCACAGCTGCACTTAGAGCACTTTTATTAAGTTTAACAATTTAAGGTAGATCTCTGTTAAGTGTTTGGGGTTAAGCCTCGCTTACATGCAGAATTTAATTATCATTATGAACTATGATATGGCACTTACAGATCTTTAGAGATGGTTAAATAATGTTTTTTGTTATCCCCCCCAGAGGGAACCCAAACAACTCTTACATTCTGGAGGAAAATGGTCATGTGACCTCCTTAATGCATTGGAGTTTATGAAAAATTGTTGTTCAACATTACAAAATGGATAATTAAGCAAATTAGACTGTAAAAAAGGAATTATGCAGTGTATTTATGTCAGCATCGTTTTCATATAGTCCATTTTGTGACGTGTACAGTTCTCAGCTCCAGTGTTAAATTAGACTTTGAGATTGTTGAACAGTATAGTATTAAGCTTTTGTATCTCCTTAAAGGCAAACAGGCGACACCACTGTGCCAATTACAGGTCAGATCTGTGAAGTGGCAACCCACTCACAGAAAGAAGGCCTGTTTATTCATGTATTTCTGAAGTATTAAAAACACCTGTAATTGAACAAATAGGACAAAGAGCTATAATGCCACACTGTGAAACATTCCATGGAGACCAGCATATGGCCAACCCCACCAGAAGAGTTCAACACTGCATCTTTAAGAGCTCAAACTGCAGGCGGATATTGATTTTAGCCTTGATTCTTTCCGTGCGCCCCCTGCTGGTGCTTAGGCGTCTCTGATTCTTTGGAGGGAAACCCGCTCAGATTCCTGCTGCTTTTGTTCGGCTCGTGCTGAAAAACAAACAAACAAAAAATACAACTATCAGTTTAAATCCATAACATTGCTCCTGTTTAGTTCATGTGACAAATGTTGTGATTTATTTACAGTTGTGTCTGTGCACAACAGCACCCAGCCGCCTCACTGTTAGCACCGCTATTTCCTGTCCAGTTTTATTTGTGGGGTTTTTGGTGACTCGCTCTAAAATGTATAAAGTATAAACATGAACAGATGAGGCAGAGAACAGGGAGCTGTGGATGTGTCTGACACATGTGAAACATTTTACAAATGCAGAGAAAACAACTGTGTTTAGAAGTGAGATGTTTGGGCCTCTGTGCTAACGCTAATGCTAATTTTGCGGAAAAATTCATATTAAAACACCACCACAAACTGACCACTTACACATTAAAAAACAAAACAAACAAAAAAACAACAAAAAAAAAAAAAACACCAGAACTTTTGTTCAGTTGGCAGAATTTTGATATTTATATTAACTATTTTTAAGCTTTTGATAAAGATTTGCATTAGCTTTTAGACACAGTGAGTTAGTTAGAGAGTGTTTTATAAACTTAAATAAACTTTCTCATGGAAAGTTCACCATCTGCTTGTCTCGAGGTGTTGCTGCTTTACCTGGAATGTTTCACAATATGGCATTAAATTTACTAGGTAAAAAAGAATCTCTGAGATGCTCCGATACACTGACGACTTTCACAATAAGAACAGATGTTTTTCAAGGTAAGGTAAAAAAAGAAAAATAATAAATGAGGATACGAAGTTTATTTAATGCCATAGTGGAACATTCTGGGCAAAGCAATAACTGACCTTCCTCCAGAAAAGTGACGTAGTTCAGCTTTAAAGGCAGCACAGTGGCTGACTGGCTTGCACTCATGCCTCACAGCAAGATGGTTCCAGGTTCGATCAGGTTGCCCGGGCCTTTCTGTGTGGAGTTTGCATGTTTCTCCCCGTGTCTGGATGAGTTTCCTCCGGGTGATCCGGTTTCCCCCATCAACCCAAAACATGCTACAAGTCTCCAGGAACAGTTGATAGTCAAGGTCAGTTAAATACAATCAGTTAATGAAGCTGCCCAGGGACGACAGGTGGGAATTAGCACTGGTGCTACAACCTGATGTACAATGCATCTCTCCTGTTAAGGTTCATGTAATGTAAATTGTGCGCTGTCCCTGTCTCATTAAATTAAAATAAAGATTTAAAGAGCCGTACCTCGAGTCCACTTGCAGTAAATGGAGATGCTGATGCCGAGGATGAAGGTGTAGAGGACGACCAGCGCCAGGAAACACAACAATCTGAACAGAGGGATTTCCTTTGGCCAAGGAGGAGAGGTGGGCTGAACCGAGGAGGACGGAACCGAGGAGGACGGAGCATCTGTCAATCAATGCACAACATCATTCTCAGAGTCCTGGATCTTCAGATCAGTAGTGCTTAGTTAAAACACTCGCTGGTCTAGATCTGTAAAATCATTAGTCATCCAGGTAGGATCCACAGCAAAGGAGAAATTCAGTTCTGTCACCTGGACTAACTGGAGAAGCTGGATGAGCTGCCAAACGTATTCCATCAAAAAACTTTTGTCCAGTTGACAGAACTGAATTTATCGTTTGCTCCTGACCGGTCTAGTGACCAGTGCATTTGAACACCAATAAAAATAGTGTGATCCCTAAATAGTGCCCTAAGAATAGACTGTAGATAAAAGGGGACCCCTCAGCTCCAGCCCAATGAAGCCAATGGAGGCCAGCAGTTAGAGCTAGTTAAGCGATGCTTACCTATGCTGTCAATCAAACCTGCTGCTAACACTAACAGGAACCACCTAGGTGAAAGAAAGCACCTGATCGGTCTGTTTTTAATGTTCAAATCTTGGATAACAGACAAAATTGTGAACTAAAAACCGTCAGGATCATGTGGAGTTGGTTAATAACATTTTAAGGTCAGAATGACGAGTCTGACAGCAGCAGTTACAAGAAGCAGGGTGATGGTTTTTCAATAGAAAGTGCTCACTTCCTATTTGGCCTGTGGGCGAGCTCTGTCTTTTCATATGTACTTTCTATAGCCTGAAGTAGGAAATACTGTGGGTATTCTTATTTTTGTCTCTAGTGTTTAACCTCAGTGCCTGTAGGTTCAAATGCATCTGCAACTGAGACATGCTTTTGTGTCCTTGGGCATGACACCTCCCACCTTTTCCATGTATGAATGTGGTGTGAGTGGCATTATTTCTGAAATGTCACTAACCGTTCGGCTCTACAATGAGGAGACTCTGCAGGGACTGGTTCTGGTTTGGGTGCATACAGTGATACAGACCCTGATGCTGATTCTGGGTCACAGAGGAAAGCACCATCTGACCTCCAGGAAACCATCCCAAAAAGGAACCGTTTAAGAAGAAGGAGGCATTGAAGTTTGAGGTGGGATCATCAAATTTGCTGTTTTTAAAGGAACATCTCAGAGTGACCTGCTGTCCCTCTTTCACCGGGAACAGTGGACTCTCCAGGATCAACTTCTCTGGAAATACAGGAGACAGGAATACAGACTCACATTGCACTCTCCACTCAAGAGAGATCAGGAGTCTAACCCACAACCTCCTTGCTCTTTGCTCCAGTCTTCTTACCTTTGCTGATGGTGATATTGGCTGCAGAACTACGCTTGGTTTGGTTGTGTTGGTTCTGACACCAGTAGAGCCCTGTGTCAGATATCAACGTTGGATCCACCTTGCAGTTCATGCCCTTATGACTGCCCCAGGACCCCCCACACTTCTCAGGGGTGGGCTTGAAGCGGGTCTGCCTGAAAACCGTCCACTCGGAAGGGCAGGAGATGCTGATGTACTCGTAAGTGTGGAGCTGCAAGCTGTCCGGAGACACGCACACAGTGGCAGCTGTGGAGGAGAGATGCATTCTGCTAAATAAACCATCAATCTGACACTGGTATTGGATATCGGCTTCCAAATATCGGTTGAGCCGATATCCTGATTGGGCATATATGTTGAGTCTCTGCACTGATATCGATTGATATCATGAACTGGCAGATAAGCCTTAGTGTCGAAATTGGAACTAAAAAACTGGATTGGAACACCCCTAAATACACCAATGACTAACTGACACATCAGTCAGATGCTAAAAATGTCAAAGCTTGACAATCTAACTTAAATACAGCAACTTAAACACAGGTATTACATTTACACTTACACTGTGGGGTGTTGACTGTTGTTAACACATAACACACAAAATAATTTAGATCACCATGTTACCTAGTTTTTGATACTCTGAGTCCCTCCCCCCTTCAGAGCGCAACACAATCAGCATGCATTTTGGTAATGAAACTGCTGCATATCGCATGAGGTTTGTCCAGTTGGATCATGCTTTTGTATATTTCTGGGGAATAGTCATGTGGGAGCATGGGTGATATGGGTCTGTGGGTGGAGCCTTGGTCAGAATATTACAGTTAACTAAAGGAGAGTCCAAATAACCCTGCACAGCAAGATGGATTCTCACGATATTTGTGAGTTCACAAACTCACAAGAATCCATCTTGGAGTGCAGTCACTGTGCGAGAGGGTGGACCAATCACAGAGCAACATTAAGGTTTGTGCCAAGCGCCCAAATGAACCAAAACAAATACAGCAATGTTGACGGATTTTAGCGTAAGTACAGAGTATTTTATTTGTTAAAAACGTGCACAAGGGAAGAGCTGTTGAGCTGTTGTGATGCCCAGTCAGAATAAAATAATTTGTTATGACACTCCATGTTTTCGAACAATTTCAGCGAGAGACAAGCCAGATTGATCATGTGTAGAACTCAGTTCAGAGTGACATATGCCAGTCTGGTGTGAAGTAGGTTAGGGTTCGAATAGGGGCCAGGAGAGATCGTTAAAAAACATACTAAAATGCAATGATCACATCTAAAGCCTCCATGTTTTTAATGACAGACAACACTGAACATGGTGGAAAGCTCCAAAAATTCAATTTTGGAAGGTTATCATACTCATTGACAATTGTTATATAATCTACCTCTAGAATGTATTAAACAAAAAATAAACTCAAAATAACTGAAAACAATAGCCAACTTTTGCTTTGATCACTGGCTTAGCTAGCTAACAAACAAACTGTAAAGAAGAAGGTGTGTTATTTCCACAGTGGTCAGCCTTTCTCTTTAGGTAGATATCACGCAGTGTCCACCAGTGTCTGACCAGAAGTGAAGAAGCAGCTTGGATGTGCAGCTTCTTCACTTTAAAACTTTTGTCCTGCTGACAGAATTGAAATTTTCTTTTGCTCTATATCAGACCTGGATGACTGAAGGATTATGTAGGCATTGAATAAGGAGGTGTGTCCAAACCTTTTAGTGTATACATGGGAACATAAAAAATAAAAGAAAAATGCAGGAAGTCAGTTGAATAAGAATTCAAAACAAGAGAATCTCCAGAAACAACAGAATTAATAAGCAGTAATGTGCTGTTAATGGACTAGTCCAGTGGTTCTCAAACACTGGTTCATGTCCCACTGATGAACTCATCCTTTGGGTTTGTTCTTGTTTAGATCTTCTATAACTGTGATGTGATCCTGTTTTAGAGCTGGTTTAGAGCTAGTGATACTTTGAACGCTAAATATACACCACCAGTGAAACCTCCTTATTCAATGTTTTTTTTTTTTTACCTTACATTTACAACTTTCTACATTTTAGATACATACGGAGGACATATAAATGCATGAAGCAAAACATGAAAAAGAGTTAAATAAAGGAACAAAATATTTTTTAATATTTTATATTAGAATCCTCAAAGTGTCCACTCAAACAAGTTTTGGGTGATTTTGAGTTTATTTTTGTTTGCTACATTCTATATGTGTGGAAAAATGAAAGTGTGTCCAAAATTGGTGAAAAAGGTAAAAAGTTTTGAAGTCCAATGTGCGAGGAAATCTAACCCACATAAATCAAAATAAAAATTCTGAATTCATGTTATGACAGTGCTTCTCAAATAGTGGGGCGCGCCCCCCCAGGGAGGCTCCGTCAAGGGGGGCGCGTTTGACCTCGGGGAGCATGCTTTTTTATTTTTTTATTTAGATTTTTTTTTACTGTCTTAAGGGCCGTTCACACCAAAGCGTCAAAAAACGCCTTGACGCCTCTATTTGGAGCCTTTGCATTTGAGTTCAGACGCCCCCGACGCGCATCTTTGACGCCGTGGACGAACGGGACAAAAATACTTGACGCGCGTCCGTTGCCCTGGAAACAAGAGCCCGGTCCCGCTCTTTTCCCGAAACAATGTCAGACCAGACTGAGAGAGTGTTTTTATGACATAAACATCAAAAGGAGGAGATCGGGTCGACGACTTGGGCGTATATATATTTCTACTCCGCTAATGACACTGGATCAGTCCCGGTCTAGTCCTGGTCTAATACCGGTCTGGTCCTGGTCTAATCACGGTCTAGTCCCGGTCTAGTCCTGGTCTAATCACGGTCTAGTCCCGGTCTAGTCCTTGTTTAGTCTCGGTCTAGTCTCGGTCTAGTCTCGGTCTAGTCCTTGTTTAGTCTCGGTCTAGTCCTGGTTTGGTCCTGGTCCGGTCCTGGTGTAGTCCTCGCGATCGGCTCGGTGATTGTGGCGTATATATTTATTCTCCGTTCATGTTTGTGGTTCTCGTTCTGGTTCTCGGGTCTTGCTTCCTGATAATAACGTCCCTGATTGGTTGACGCGGCGCGTCTGACGCGAAAAGTTCAGCATTTGCAACTTCTTTTGACGCTGACGCCTTGGACGCGCGTCTTGGCCGCTGACGCCAAAACGCTGAAGACGCGCTGCGCTGACGCCAGATTCGCGCCGCGCTGACGCCGAAAACGCGCCGCAAAAACGCAGGACGCTCTAGTCGCGCGTCCACATAGACTTTACATAGAAAGTGGACGCTTTGACGCTTTGGTCTGAACGGGCCTTTAGAATAAAGTGCAATTGCACTTCCACTACATTAGGGGGCAGTGGCGCTCTCATTGGCAGAGTGTGCGCAGGGAGCATTCGCTCGGTGGTGTAGGAGTTTTGTTTGCACTGAGCATGCGCGCTTTACACACACAGCACAGAGTTTGAGTATGAAGTGTAGACACGAAGTGTAGCAGACCCTCAAGTGACACCATGAAAAAATATTTAACAGGGATGAGAAGACAGGAGACGGAGATAAAGAGACAAACGAAAATCTCACGAAAGCTAAGACGAGGAAATATGACGAAGCGTATGTAGCGCTTGGCTTCACTGTGACTACGGTGGGAGACGAGGAAAGGCCGGTGTGCTTACTGCGTCTAAAAATGTTGGCAGCCGACAGCATGAAGCCCAATAAATTAAGGCATCACTTAAATACATTACACCCCGATCACTCTGATAAGCCACTTGAGTTTTTTCAGCGAAAACGTGCCGAATATTGCCGACAATCATCCCGCTTTGTGACTGCTACTTCAGTAAACCAGCGAGCATTGTTGGCGTCATATAAGGTGGCAGTGTTACGCACAGGTGTACTTATAACAATTTTATAGACAAATGATACTATCTATAGTCACGCGGGGGGGCGCGAGATGTTTTATTCGTCCTGGGGGGCATGACAGAAAATAATTGAGAAGCACTGTGTTATGAGAAAACATAATTATACCCAACTGGTTTTAATGAGAGAAGTATAGCCATCATTTAAAGAAATATAAAATAGAGTTAATAAAAATAGAAAAAGTCTTGTTACCAGTCACTGCACAGATTAAAGCTGCTACCATCCCCACCGTATGAAACTGAACATAAAAGTTTAGTCACATCCTTATTTCACCTGAACAGGAAACCATGTGCATGTTAACTGACGCTGATACATGCTAACCAGACCAATGAACTTCACAGCATAAACCACAAAAACAAAACACAACACAAACTACAGCATCTGCACCCACTGCTGCTGTGCCCATGGGCAAAGCACTTCACCCACCTTGTCATAATATCAGTGTTATTAACACCAATGGCACGCTCTCCTCACAGCAGAATGGTTCTGTAGGTAAACGAGTCCCTTACATTTGACCCATCCTTCACTGTTTCTGGGTCGATCAGTAACAGTGGGACCCATCTCCAGATCTTGAGCTAGTCTTGGTCAGGACTACCTCAGCTGAGGGATCTGACCTACTGTGTATGTTTTGGGTTGATGGAGGGAACTGGACACTGGGAGTTAAATCTGGAACCTTCTTGCTGTGAGGTGAGAGCCAACATGCACCTGCTTCAGTAGCGACTGCTGTGTTGAAGCAGTTTTGCAGAGTGTAAAAAAATCTAGATCTTACATGTTTTATGTCTGCCTTTGAGTAAGGCTGCATGTGAATAATTAGCAAAAAGCTTTATCATCCGTAGAAACACAATGGCCAGTTCAGAATTGATTTGACAGTTTGAAAGTGCATTTAAAAAAAGGATAAATAAGATCATATATATGTTACAGGCAAAGATGATAATCAGGTATTGCAGAGTATGAATCCAAAAGCTTATTCCACACGTTGCAACAGACACGGAGGAAAACACTGTGACCGCGAAACATGGAACAAATGCACATATACGGTTGCTGCTTGAGGTGGTAGGCATACACTACGAGCACAAAAAGCTAGTCCTCCTTTTTTTTTTTTTGAAAAAGAACTTTAAATCAGACAAGAGCAGCTCTAGAGGTGACTGCTCTGTGCTGTTTAGGAAGAGTGCTTTTGGACAGCTCTCTTTTGAGCAGGTTAAACATGGAACAATGGAACACAGAGCAGCTCATTTATGAGAGCTTTTGTGTGTATAGTGAGTGTACAGTGAGTGTGTTGTGTGCATAGTGAGTGTACAGTGAGTGTGTTGTGTGTATAGTGAGTGTACAGTGAGTGTGTTGTGTGTATAGTGAGTGTACAGTGAGTGTGTTGTGTGTATAGTGAGTGTACAGCAGTGCTTCTCAATTATTTTCTGTCATGCCCCCCCTAGGACGAATAAAACATCTCGCGCCCCCCCGCGTGACTATAGATAGTATCATTTGTCTATAAATTTGTTATAAGTACACCTGTGCGTAACACTGCCACCTTATATTGACGCCAACAATGCTCGCTGGTTTACTGAAGTAGCAGTCACCAAAGCGGGATGATTGTCGGCAATATTCGGCACGTTTTCGCTGAAAAAACTCAAGCGGCTTATCAGAGTGATCGGGGTGTAATGTATTTAAGTGACGCCTTAATTTATTGGGCTTCATGCTGTCGGCTGCCAACATTTTTAGACGCAGTAAGCACACCGGCCTTTCCTCGTCTCCCACCGTAGTCACAGTGAAGCCAAGCACTACATACGCTTCGTAATTTCCTCGTCTTAGCTTTCGTGAGATTTTCGTTTGTCTCTTTATCTCCGTCTCCTGTCTTCTCATCCCTGTTAAATATTTTTTTTCATGGTGTCACTTGAGGGTCTGCTACACTTCGTGTCTACACTTCATACTCAAACTCTGTGCTGTGTGTAAAGCGCGCATGCTCAGTGCAACAAAACTCCTACACCACCGAGCGAATGCTCCCTGCGCACACTCTGCCAATGAGAGCGCCACTGCCCCTAATGTTAGTGGAAGTGCAATTGCACTTTATTCTAAAGGCCCGTTCAGACCAAAGCGTCAAAGCGTCCACTTTCTATGTAAAGTCTATGTGGACGCGCGACTAGAGCGTCCTGCGTTTTTGCGGCGCGTTTTCGGCGTCAGCGCGGCGCGAATCTGGCGTCAGCGCAGCGCGTCTTCAGCGTTTTTGGCGTAGCAGCGGCCAAGACGCGCGTCCAAGGCGTCAGCGTCAAGAAGTTGCAAATGCTGAACTTTTCGCGTCAGACGCGCCGCGTCAACCAATCAGGGACGAGTATCCAGAGACGCAGCGACGTTATTATCAGGAAGAAAGACCCGAGAACCAGAACGAGAACCACAAACATGAACGGAGAATAAATATATACGCCACAATCACCGAGCCGATCGCGAGGACTACACCAGGACCGGACCAGGACCAAACCAGGACTAGACCGGGACTAAACAAGGACTAGACCGAGACTAGACCGAGACTAGACCGAGACTAAACAAGGACTAGACCGGGACTAGACCGTGATTAGACCAGGACTAGACCGGGACTAGACCGTGATTTAGACCAGGACCAGACCGGTATTAGACCAGGACTAGACCGGGGACTGATCCAGTGTCATTAGCGGAGTAGAAATATATATACGCCCAAGTCGTCGACCCGATCTCCTCCTTTGATGTTTTATGTCATAAAAACACTCTCTCAGTCTGGTCTGACATTGTTTTCGGGAAAAGAGCGGGACCGGGCTCTTGTTTCCAGGGCAACGGACGCGCGTCAAGTATTTTTGTCCCGTTCGTCCACGGCGTTCAAAGATGCGCGTCGGGGCGTCTAAACTCAAATGCAAAGGCTCCAAATAGAGGCGACAAGACGTTTTTTGACGCTTTGTGTGAAACGGCCCTTAAGACAGTAAAAAAAAAATCTAAATAAAAAATAAAAAAGCATGCTCCCCGAGGTCAAACGCCCCCCTTGACGGAGCCTCGCGCCCCCCCAGGGGGGTGCTTCTATTTGAGAAGCACTGGTGTACAGTGAGTGTGTTGTGTGTATAGTGAGTGTACAGTGAGTGTGTTGTGTGCATAGTGAGTGGCACTGGGGCAGTTGCCACCGGGCTGAGGCTCTCGCTGCCGCCGCCGGGGCCAGGGCAGTCGCTCGCTGCTCTACCCGCCTTTTGCCCGCTCGTTTCTGGGGTGTAAAAGTTTGACCTGAGCATAGCGCGCAGAGGCATAAATCTACCTGGTGTCCTGATGCTAATATGGACTGACCGTAACTTTCAGATTTAATTGGGAAATGGGATTAAGACTAATTTTACAACCGCTCGTGCACTCGGCTCCCGGACCAGACTGGACCAGGATTTAGACCAGTTTCATCTCTTCATATTGAACAATAGACTTTTGGAGACAGAACCAGTGGGACAGTGGATAGAGGAAACACTCTGCTTCAGTTTCTGGAGAAGGTAAGAGGCTGGTTTTCATTAGTTTGCGGCAAATCTGAATTTGGAGCCTCACAGGTAAATAGTGTTCTAGTATTAATAGTTAATAGTGCGTAAATGAGCTGGTGTATATGATGGAGCTGCTCTGGTTGTTCTGTCGTGTGCTGTAGGAGCGGCATCTGTGTTCATGTCTCTTATTGTAGTTTTGCTGACGTTGTTGGGTCTGAGTGTGAGCGGTGTGTTACGTTGTGTTGTTGCGTAAAGTTTGCGCTTAGCTGTTCATTGTGCTCTGATCGATATTGTTCAGCCACTAGTAACCACAATGTCTGTTTCTGGTATTTGTTATAATACTACAGCCTGTTATTCATACATATATTATTCATAATATATATTTATAATTTTGCCCTTGGTGCCAGTCCCAAAAATTATACCATCAGTCGCCACTGGTCCTGGTTTAGTCCCGGTCCCTCAAGTCTCAGGTCTCTATAGGACAGGACAGGACTGGACGGTGTACCCTCACGTACCACGCTCACTACAGTCCTGGTGCTGTCCGATGCGTGGCTATTTCTAGTTCAGTGGTGTTTTTGACTAGAGGCTGTTGTTTAATGTTTACAACCAGTGGCAGGACTTATTGTTTTTTAATAAACCTCAACCTTTTATTATTGTCTTGTGTGCGTATCGTCTACCACACAGCCTCAACAAGTACTGCAGCTAATAATAATAATCTTAATATAATAATGATAATAATAACAACAACAACAACACATAATTAGCCTAATACTGTTGAGGAAAAACATGTTTGATAGCATGTCTACTTTGTATGACTCCACCGCGTTAAAATATTTCTCAAATAGGCAGTGCCCCCCCTGCTGGTGACCCATGCCCCTCCAGTAGATGTGCTCTGACGCCGACTCTGGCGGTGGCTCAAGTTTCACGATAATCCACACATATTTAAGACCTATAGAATGTTTAAAGGTTCTTTTGTATCGGTTAGTTAGTTTCTCAGACATAAGAAACGCCGCTGGCTAGCGACTATTCTCCACTCTTCTCAAATGAAACGGTAAGCTGAATTAAAAAAAAAAAAAAAAAAAAAAATAGAATAAAGACTTACTGTGCCCCGTGGTCACGATGACAGGCAACACCGCGAGGAAACGTATGAGTGGAAAAGTGCTCATTATCGTTTAATATTGTCCGCCAAACGACGCAACGAGTACCCTCGAAAAATCTCTACAGTCTGTCCCAGAATACTTTCGCTTTTCCTTTTCGATGCCTTTATTTCCTTATTACTAGTAGTAGAATAGATATGGACAGTTAATACATACACTAAACCAGCATTTTAAGACTATGTATGGTAGACTATTTACTCATAAAAAACAACAACAACAAAAACAACATAAAAATATATAAAGATAAATATATATTAACTTGCAATGAGGTTATGAACTCAGACTTCTTCAAAGTGGGGTTCGCAGAAAAGTTTTAGGTACTATGGCGCATGCTCAATAACACACATAACACATTTCTGTAACTTAAGACATTGACATCTGTATAAATTATTAGTAGCCTATGTTAACAATCATGAGTGCTTCTTGAGAAGAGATGCATAATTCGGTTTATACTGTAGAAATATGCAAGGGGGAGCAAAACTCGATGGGGGAGCATATAGGTGACCTCCGTGAAGTTGGTCCAGACTCCTCCAAACGCACACTTACATCATGAGGTTTTGATCAGGCCAATTCTGACCAATCAGATCACTTCACTGCACCATTTCATATAGGTAGGCCTTAGCATCTTGGATTTTGGCTTTTTTTTTTTACATGTACACTTAAAATTTCAGCAACAAAAATTCTGAATAAAAAGAATAAAATTCATAATCTGGTGAAACATATTATCTTTCATACAATGGTTTGTGCTGTAAAACAGCTTTATTACAGTGCATCAAATAGCCACATTTACGTGAGAGAAAAATAATAAACCAACATTAAACCAACATGGTCTAAATAAAGTTATAACCAGGATTAAACCTTATATCTACCCAGGTACAAATAGTTGCGGTCTGAAAGTACAACTGAAATTTTGTATTTTGTACAAAAATACTAATGGTGTATTAAAAAAATGCTTTTGGTGAATCTACTTCAAGAATATAGAAGAGAATAGAAAGCCTTTATTGTCATTATACAATAGCATAATGAAATTCAGAAATTAAATACATATACTTCATAAACTGTACTGTAGTGTACTGTAGTGTATTTTATACTATATGTTTTAATATAATTTGAAATAGTATATTCTTAACACAGAATGCACTATTTAATTGTAAAAGTATTTAAAATAGACACAACTAGGCTACTCTAGTAGTGCTTTCATAATATTTGATAAATATTCTGTAGTCATGTAGAAATATATTTAAAACATGTGAAAGAAAGTTTAAATAGACATACACTGTGTATTTTAAAAACTTCAACTTAAGCACAATGTATCATTTATTTAGTTAGCATTTATTAGTCCTGGTTTAGACCTAGTTTAGATCTGGTTTAGTCCTGGTTTATCAAATCAAAATCAAATCAAATTTATTTGTATAGCACATTAAAAACAGCCAAATCTTACCAAAGTGCTGAACAATGAAATAAAACATACAATTGACAAAACAACGGCAATAGTGTGTGTATATATATATATATATATATATATATATATATATATATAAAATAACAGCAAGGTGCCAAGGTGTCTCTTCCTAACTCTAGACAAGTGCCAGGGAGAAAAGATGCGTTTTGAGCAAGGATTTAAAGTGCTCCAGTGTTTGTGCAGTTCTAATGTGCAATGGCAAAGGGTTCCACAGTCCTGGACCGACCACAGAGAAACCCCTATCGCCTCTGGTCCTCAGCCTGGTCCTGGGGACAACCAGAAGGTGCTGGTCTGCAGAGTGCAGACCTCTGGATGGGACATGTGGCTGAAGGAGTTCAAATAAATAGGAAGGTGCCATTCCATGAACTGTTAAAAACAATCATTAAAATTTTTAAATGGATTCTAGAATGTACGGGGAGCCAATGCAAGGATTTAAGAATAGGAGTGATGTGGTCCCTCCACTTCTTTCCAGTTAAAAGGAGAGCTGCTGCATTTTGGACCCCCTGCAGGCGGCTGAGCTGGGCCTGGTCAATGCCAGCAGACAAAGAGTTACAGTAGTCAAGCCGCGAGGTCACAAATGCATGAATGGTCTTTTCAAAATGCAGGCGTGGGATGTTTGGTTTAATTTTACTTAAAATCTGTAACTGATAAAAACTTGATTTAAGAACAGAGTTCAAATTTTCAAATTTAAAATTGCAGTCAAAAATTACACCAAGGTTTCTAGAAAAATGTTTTTTCATAAGAGGACCTATGGCACTGTCACAGTTTATCAACAGATCAAGATGATCTGAAAATGAATGATCAAAAACAATTATTTCTGTCTTCTGCTTATTTGTTTAGATCTGGTTTAGTCCTGGTTTAGATCTGGTTTAGTCCTGGTTTAGTCCTAGGTTTAGTTTTAGTCCTGGTTTAGTCCTGGTTTAGTCCTGGTTTAGTCCTAGTCCTGGTTTTAGCCCTGGTTTAGTCTTGGTTTAGTCCTGATTTAGTCCTGGTTTAGATCTGGTTTAGTTTTGGTTTAGATCTGGTTTAGATCCGGTTTAGTCCTGGTTTAGATCTGGTTTAGTCCTGGTTTAGACCTGGTTTAGTCCTGGTTTAGACCTTGTTAAACCTGGTTCAAATCTGTGTACACTGTACTGAATGAGTGAAGTAGACAAAATCTGTATTGAATTTAATAAAATTTGTGTCTTCATTTTCCTCTTGATGGCCTTTCTGATGATACTACCAATTGGGAAGTGATTGGTCCTCTTATTGGTGTTGGTGTTTTTCTGTTGGTGGCGGTGGCGGTTGTAATTTTGAAACGTAGGCAACGTAGTCAAGGTAAGAGAGTACTGGAACATAAAAACTGTAATTAGCAAAAACCTTTATTTTTAATGACAAAAATCTAACCAGAGTCTTATCTCCTTTTACGAGCCAATCTTGGGCAAAACATGACTATGCAAGAACTCATCAATCAGGGGCAAGACGAGAGAACCACTCAATCAGGGGCAAGAGTCGAGCCAATGAAGAGCAAAAACCACTCAATCAGGGGCAAGAGCCGGCCGAGCCAATCAGGGGCAAGAGTCGGCAAAAGCAAAAACCACTCAATCAGGGGCAAGAGCCGGCCAATCAGCAGCAAGAAGAACTGAACGCTGAGCAAGAACCAGTCAATCAGGGAACAAAAGGCCAATAAGGAGTGAGAATAATGAAGAAAAGCCCATCACTTGTACAGTAGATTAAATTAGGTCCTGACTTGAGCACAGTTTAGTCCTGATTTAGACTTGAGTTGATCCTGCCTTAGTTTAGTCCAAGTCAGGCTTAGTCCAGGTTTAGTTCTGGTTTAGTCCCAATTTAGATGTGGTGTGTGAAGTTCCATCAACATAGTTTAACTTGATTAAACCTTAAACTCTTTCAAATTGTCCAGTATTGTAATCAGTGGTCTTTAGGTAGTGCGTTTATGCAGAGAGCTGCTGTGAGTTTGTACTGTGATCATAAAAGCACTGATAGACTTTATTTACTGTTGCTTTAGTTCTGGTTTAGTCTGGTTTAGTCCTGGTTTAGTCCTGGTTTAGTCCTGGTTTAGTTCCTGGTTTAGTCTTGGTTTAGTTATTGCTGGTTTAGTTCTCTCATTAAAAACTTGAGGTGCTAGTTTGAACTGAGCCACATTTTATGCAAATGAATTCACTCTATAAACTCCAGTTGAATTCCACCTTTTCTTTTTGGACTCCACAACTCAAGAAATACACTGACAATCTGTTTCATCGACCCCTCTGAGCACCAGTCACTCCCACACTACACATAGTTTAATCCCGGTTTAGTCCTGCTTCATTACTGTTTTAATCCTGGTTTAGTCCTGGTTTAGTCCTGGTTTAGTTCTGATTTAGTCCTCTCATAAAAAAAACTTGAAGGGAAACAATATATATGCAGGTGATCTGGGAATGCCTTTAACTGTCTCACAATGGGAAACAGCATTACAAAAGTGCACAACATACATTAAATGTGTGAGATATAAAATTCTGCAGCTCAAATGATCACATTGAGCTTATATAACACCACATGTACTAAACAAACTGGATAATGAATTACTGTATTTTTTGCACTATTAGGCGCTCTGGATTATAAGGAGCACTGTCACTGAATGATCTATTCTTGAACATTTTTCACAAATAAACCACACCAGACTTTAAATGAAACACAACAGTTGGATGGCTCAGTGAGACTTTGTTTGGTGCGTTCATGGTGACTCTCGGCTTTGTTCAGTTGTGGCGCGTGTTGTCGTGTTTGCAGTGACTCAGTTGTTCAGTTGTATCTAGAAGTGGCACATTGCACTTGCTTTTTCGGTTCGTTCCTCTGTTCCGTTCCTCGTCCGTGTGGAGCGATGAGTGGCTGCAGGTGTTTTTCGCCGTGCGGTCGCTGTCTGCTCCGTGTGTGTTCACGTGCGCTGTGGGTGGTGCGGCTTTATAGTTTACTAAAGTTGTGCTGGGACACCGAGTGGATTCGTGTATAGGGCGCTTTGGATTGCGGGGTGCACAGTCGTTTTTTGATTGGGTTGGAGGCTTATGAGCACGCCCTATAGTGCAGAAAATACAGTATCCAAACTAGGATGTATTGTACAAGGCTTTGGGGGCAACTGTAGCTGAAGCACTTTTGAATTCTCACACTATATATATCCTTACACTATGTATCTTTTTATATTAGTTTTTTTATACTATTTTATACTATTTTCATATAATGTATCTTTCTATGTATTGGTTGTTGGGATTTGTACCATTTATGTCTTGTATTATTGTACTTGAACTTGTATAGCCTGTAATTAAAATTTGTTAAGGCTACATGTCCCATCATGCATCTAGGGGACATTGGGCCAGCCCACTGTGAACATGTGACCTACACCTATTACTTTAAATCTGCACTGTGATAACATCTCGAGTTTGCCCTGATGAAGGCCGAAGGGCCGAAACGCGTTGGCGTATTTTAACTTTATCTGCCATGTGGTATTAAAGGCTTTTAATTATTTTGTACTTTTTGAGTGCCTCAGTTTTTTCCTGCGTTGTATTTAGGATGTATTGCATGTTTGATGTGCAGATCTCTCCATGCCCATCGCTGTGGCTGCTTGGAATAAGAACTCAAGA